GCTCTCTCTCTCTCTCGCTCTCTCTCTCTCTCTGGAGATGACTACTTTTTGTCTCCGCTCTCTCCAAGTCTCGAACTTTTACTTTGGACTGGTTTTAACAGTTGTTGTTTTTTATTTATTTTTATTTTCTTTTGTTTTGTTTCGGGGCTTTTTTGTTGCTGATCTTAAACTTAAAGGCCGAGATAGTAGGTATTTAAGTTGATGCAATGTTGTTGACACACTTAAAACAAAAGACAGATCGTGTGTGGTTGGAGGGGGCCACTGGTAGATGGATCCTACCTTTCGTGTTCTTTTCCCCTTCTAGTGTTTCTGTCTGTCTATGTTGCTTTTTCTCTGCATTAAATGACCGTTGTCTTGAAAGTACGGTATGCTTCTCATTTATTTCAATTTTTTTTTTACATAAACCCAAATTTTAACTGAAGAGATTGATCACTGCAGATGTTTAAAAGGAAACCATCAAAACATGTTATGATTGCTTGGAAACCGTGGGGGGTTGTGTTCTCGTAGGAAAGTGGACAACACTCTGTCATAATGTACTACTGTAAAGGCGTTCAGTCAGTGGGATGAAACTGCTACACGTATTTAATTATGGGGACGAGCGACAAAGTGCGGAAGAAAAGATAGGCTACTTCGTACAAAAACAACAACAAAAACAAACAAACAAACAAACAAAAACGAAGCAGGCAACAGCAACATTGAGAGAAGGAAAGAAAACCCAGGTTTGTTTCAACTGATTAATGTCACTATGCTTCCGAAATGACACTAAGATACAATGAGCCTCCTGACAACAAGGGAACAAAATAAAATATCAGCTCGAGAACATTTTCTGTTTCCTTTATTGCTATGATTCTTGCCTTCGCCTTGAAGTTTTTTGTGTTGTTGTTTTTTTCATCTCAGAGACTCATTGCGTGGTCGACCTCGTTTATTTTCTTTAGAATGAGTGAAAGCGCAAGAGGCGAGAAGACTTTTTAGTTGCACCTGATGCGTCTCCTCAGGGCTTTCTGAACTTTCTTCGAGACACAGCTCCACAAAAAGCGGTGACCACAAGCTTGGACGTCGTACCTGCCGGATGCACCCGTGCCTGCGGAGCGAACCATGGGTACAGTCACCAGGGGAAATTATTCGTACATCTAGTTGTTGGTTTTTTTAAAGAAATAGAAATAGTGCGTTGTTACATGTTATGAGTGTTTGTAGTACTCACTTACTCCCGATGATGATGATGATGATGATGATGATGATGATGATGATGATGATGATGATGA